TCTGTAGCCTGACATAAGAAATCCAACAGGAGCAATACTTGAAATGGCAATCCATAAAAAAATACCGATATTGAAATTGGCTAAAATAAGGCGAGAGCTAAAAGGAATTACTGAAAAATTTAGTAAAATTGATATGACTGTTATAGACGGTCCAATACTAAATAAACGAGTATTTCCTCTAGATGGAAGAATATTCTCTTTGAAAAGCAATTTTGTTCCATCTGCTAGAGCTTGAAGAATTCCTAAAGGACCGGCGTATTTAGGCCCAATACGTTGTTTTATTCCTGCATATATTTCTCTTTCTAATCATACAATGACTAGTAAACCTATTGTGATTCCCAATACAAGAGTCAAAAGAGGGACCAACATCCATATGATCCCATAGACCTCTTTTAAAGATTCTAATATGTAAAAGTAATTGATATCTTGTACTTCTGTCATATAAATTATCATTTCAACGATCCACTTCTCCCATAATGATATCTATGCTTACTAGTATCGTCATAATATCAGTCAATTTCATTCTTTTAACTAACTGAGGAAGAATTTGCAAATTGATAAAACCCGACGGGTGAATTTTCCATCTCCAAGGAAAACCACTTTGATCCCCTATCAGAAAAATTCCTAATTCTCCCTTTGGGGCTTCCATTCTTGCATAAAGTTCTTGTCTCGGTAATTCAAATGTGGGAGAAGGTTTTTTTACTAATGAATCGATATTCAAAATCATTTCATTTTGGATCCCTTTTTCGATCAAAGCATCGGATTTCTAAATTCTTATAGGGACCCCCCAGAATTCCTTCCAGGGCCTGTTGAATTATTTTTATGGATTCCGTCATTTCACTAATTCAAAATAAATAACGAGCTAATGAATCTCCTTTTTGCCACTGGATTTTCCAATCAAATTCGTCGTAACACTCATAATGATCAACTTTTCGAAGATCCCATTTGATTCCCGATGCTTGTAGCATTAGGCCGGATAAACCCCAATTTATTGCTTCTTCTCCACCAATAACGACTATCCCTTTAACTCGTTCTAAAAAAATAGGATTTCGAGTAATAGGTTTTTGATATTCAATAATTCCTGTTAAAAAATAATCACAGAAATCCAAGCATTTATCTATCCAGCCATAAGGTATATCGACTGCCACTCCTCCGATACAAAAATAATTATGCATCATTCTCATGACGGTGGAAGCCTCGAATAGATCATATACTAATTCTCTTTCTTTGAAAATATAGAAAAAAGGGGGTTTGTGCACAATATCTGCCATAAAAGGTCCAAGCCATAATATATGATAAGCTATACGACTCAACTCCAACATAATTACTCTGATATAGCTGGCTCTTTTAGGGACTTGAATATTCCCCAATTGCTCTGGTCCATTTAAGGTTATTGCTTCCGTGAACATAGTGGCTAAATAATCTCAACGCGTTAAATAAGGTAAATATTGTATATTTGTTCGGTTTTCCGCATTTTTTTTCCATTCCTCTGTATAAATAACCTAATATTGGTTCACAGTCAATAATATCTTCACTATCGAGAGTAACGATGAGACAAAGAACACCATGCATGGGTGGTGAGGTCCCATATTGACTATCATAAGGTCTTTTTCTGTAGCTGATAGATTCATAAGTTCTTCCTCAATTCATTCTTACATGAATTGTTGAAAACGAAAACACGTACTTCAAAATGAAAATCTAATAAATCAACTAATTTAAATAAATCGACTAATTCAAAATTTGCAAATTAACGATTTTTTTGATTCCCGAATATCCAACTCACTAATCAAAATCTGGTTTTGTGGGAACAAACTAGACACTCTATTCTGATCTCCTGAACCCAGTCATCCGAAATATTTCCCTCTAAAATTAAAGCTTATTGTTTGTTATTACCTGAGATATCATTGGGACCTCAGCTCAGCCTAAAAGTCTGTAGATGTCTGAATCAATAAAGAAATTTATTTTATATGTTATCTGCATATTGTTCAACATCATCTGGTAGTTTTGTATTACTGAGCTTTCAAAAGCTCACTCTGTTACTCACCTTTTTAGGTTTAAAGGATTAAACCAGTGCAACTATCGATATTGGTAAGGGAGTTCCACCGACGTTGCTTGCGGAGTACAGTGCATGTGTTTAGGGGCATGTAGGTTGTATTTTATTTTATATACGAGTCTAGAATATGTTTTATTTTTTTTAATATTTGTAAATTTTACTTTTGTATTATAAATTGTTTTATGATTTTACGTGTTTTAACATAAATTTTAATTTTTTCGATATTTTTACGGTGGGTCGCTCCGGTAGCTCTGATGTGACACCCTGGATCGGATCGGGCCACCCGCATCGGTCTGAGGGAGTTACCCGACTCATTTACACCCCCAATTCTTCCTAAGATAGTGGCATGAAATTATACATGTATCTATGTAAAATGTTATTTGCATGATGATTAGATTAAATATTCCATGGTTGGCTTATTATGTGTAATTATACTGTCCGACTGTCTCTACGGAAGGGCATATCTGATAAAATCCCAAGAGAGATGGAAGAAGATCCTACCCTTAGTTATGGGAAAACCCTCACTTTTTTTTCTTCACTAAACTCACCTCCCATGTGATGCTTCCTGGAAATTAAACACTTATCATAAAAGTTGACTTTCCCCAACTCTGTCATACATATATACACCATAGAGTTAAGCGGACATATATGAATGAGACTCTCAGATAGAAAGAGAAGTAATAAATAAAGAAAATGAGGAGCGATGAAGTGCTTTTGAATTGTGGGATAACAATTCCAGTGATTGGATTAGATTTATTCTTCTGATAATGATAATGATAATGACAGAACTGAGAAAGCTATCCATTTGGCTCTCAAGGTACGTATGAGGTGTATATGAATACATATGCATGTATGTATCATGTATGTACGTATTTATGAATATATGCATGAGGAATTATAATGGAGGTGTTGCAGATGGGGTACGGGCATTTTGATACTGTAAAAATATACGGTTCGGAGCCGGCTGTTGGAAATGCTTTAAGAAAGGCTATTGAGGATGATAAAATCATCCCAAGGGAAGACGTTTTCCTCACTTCAAAACTATGGAGCGCTGATCACCATGATCCTGTTTCGGCACTCAAACACACTCTCAGGTATAGTATGAAGTGATTGCAAGATAATATCTGTTCATAATCTTTCATAGTCATTAACAACGCATACACCCTATAGACGCAACTACTCATCCCCCTTAAACCACTTATGTCACTTAATGAGTTCGAAGGAACTTTGTTATTAGTAATAGTTATGAGTTAATGGTTTTAAATGAACGAATGTTTGTAGGAGGGTGGGGATGGAGTACATAGACATGTATTTGGTGCACTGGCCGGTGAAACTGAAGCCATGGGCATGTGATGCTGTTCCGAAGTAAGAAGAGTTTGAAAAGCTGGAGACCACATGGGAAGGGATGCAGAGATGCTTGGACATGGAGTTGTGTAGGTGTATTGATGTTAGCAATTTCTCCACCAACAATATTCAAAACTTGTTAGATTTTGCTTCGGTCCCTCCTGCAGTTAATCAGGTGGAAATGCATCCTATGTGGAGCAAAGGAGGCTTAGGGAAAGCTGCAGGGAGCACAACATCCATGTGAGTGCTTATTCGCCACTAGGAGGACCTGGAAATGCATGGGGATCCACCTCTGTGGTTCAAAATCCAATCATCACATCCATTGCTCTCAAACATAAAGCAACTCCTGCTCAGGTACTTCATTATCCTTTTCACTTTCTTTTATACCATGTAACTACCTACCTTGATTGAGCCTATTAACATCACTGCTTGTACCATGCATCCTATGCATGGCGTTGTTTTTAAGAGTTTCAATCCGGATAGGATGAAAGAAAACATGGCATCCTTGGACCTCAAATTGGATGATGATGATTTGATTGAGATTGACAAGTTGGAGGAGAGGAAGATCATGAGAGCCGACTTTCTTGTTAATGACACAACAAGTCCTTATAGGTCTCTTGAAGATCTTTGGGACTACGAGATTTGATTAAAAAAAACTTACAACAAAGTCTATATGCATTCTTTTATTTTTCAATTTCTAAATGCCAATATATCCCTTCGGCCCTCCCCTTTCAATTCCCTCCCCAAGGGTGTAAATGAATAGTGTTTGACAAACTATTCATGAATCGTTTGTATAACATTCGTTTATATTTGTTTATTAAGTTAAATAAAAGAGTATAAACAACATTTTTATGATCATTTAATAAACGAACAAACACAAATATAGGTGTGTTTAGTTCGTTTATGTTAACGTACAATTAACTCATTCATATGTTTGTTTACTTGGATTTCCATTTCCTTTTATTTTTTTACATTTGAAATATTCATGAATGTAAGGACTAAATTGAATATAAGATGAGCTTTGGAGTTCAAACTATGAAGCATATGGAGCTTAAAGAATACTAGCCTAAATTCATCGTTTTTCTGAACACGATATTAAAACTTGGGAGGAACATGAACCACATACAAACATAAACAACTCAAAATAAACAATCCAATCTTATTCATTCAAACCAGATAATTTACATTTCCACCTCCATCATCATATATCATTGCAATGCGACTCTACTAGTCCTCGAACTTTATAAAACTTTAGTCAATAATGAAATACTAATGCCTAGGAGAATTGTAAATGTTACTTGTAACCTGCTTCAGTCAAACTGCGAGTGCATGATTAAATACAGTGATTTAAGCAAACTATACAATCACTTGAAATGTTTTTCTCAATTCAACGATTGTTTTAGACGAGTTATAAATTTAATCACTTCATAACAAAAGACAAATTTCATCCTTGTACAAAAACTAATTGAATCGGTCTACTAAAAAAAATGGTTCTATGACTTATAAACACCACAATAGCAAAAGTCAACAATTAAAGTTAATGTACTTAACAACAATTGAAGTAATTATTATTTTCTGTAAATTATTATGATGGACCGAATTCTGAAAATGGTGAAATCCATAATTAGCCCTTTTAAAATAGTATCAAAGAAAGGTAGGATACACAGGCTTTGCCCAGAGAGGTTGCAAGAAAATAATTTGGTTCGCCTGCTATAAAAATTGTTGAGGAACACAATCTTCTCCAATACATATTTCAGCTAATTATTTGCAAGAATCTTTGCTTTAATTTGATTTCTAAAATTCATCGCACAAAGTTCAACAGCTTAATCCATGATATCTTCTCCTCCATTCAGCCCTGAAAAACAGATAACGTCATGTAAAACAACCACGTACGGATATCACCAGAAACCCAAACCATGGTAAAAACAACTACCTAAAAAACAAACATGCATATAAAATCAGCTTTGGCCAAGAAACATAAACAACCACTTCATTATCGTCTTAAAATTACGGCACGTGTTGAGCATAGTTGGATTCTCTATCTTCCACACCTACGGCACACAAGTATCAAAAGTATTGAAGGCCGCATTCTTACCTCTATCTGCTCAAGCTAATGACAGCCCGCCACCTATTTTTCAGCCAAACTCCTACTATTTTCATTGGACGCCGAGGAAATGCCTTGCTCGATGCGCTAGAAAAAGCATTATAATGAGATTATAGCACATCAATTTATACTGATCAAGGAATATAGGAAAGACACTTCATGCTGAAATTATATGGCTTTATTTCAAGATACTGTATGACATGCTATGCTAGTAGATGCTTGTCAACAGACATGCAAGTTTGGTAGAAAGCTAATATTAAATACTACAAAATGGGTCATCATGAGGTGGGGAAATGAGTAAAATATATCACAAAACATAAATTTTGGTGGTCGATCAAGCATTTCCTTCTTCAGATATTTAACTTATTAACAAACTCCGTAGTGAAGTTTATGGATGTCAAAAACAATTTATAGCCTATCATTTTGAACGGTTGTTTTACATTGTCACAAACTTAAGAGAATGACAATTTCCATACTGCCTTCTTGTCTCAAATTTTAATGGTACCAAAACTCTTGCATAGTATAGTACCCTCAATAACTGCACTGTGTTTTCACATTACAAAACCTGATGCAAAATTTGCCATTTACAAATTTAGTGCACAATTGTAAGCTCGTTGTCAATATAAATAAGAGAACAAGTTTTAATCTATTTTCATAGCTGAACTGGAGAAACAAGTATCACGTTTGTCTCATTTTCCAACTAAAAGCATCCTTTGAGAGTCGAGTGAAAACAACTGTTAGACTGAACTTGGAAAATCATTGAAGAAACCTTCACGAGGCACATCAGTTATGGTTATTACTATTAACAATGAGATAACATGTAATACCTGAAGAAGGTACCCATGCAGCCAATCCAATGTCTGTGGAAATGTGGTTGCTGATACATTGATAACTGTTAAACCCTGTTCCAAGGGGGGGAAATGCATGAAAAAACACAAAAAAAGTTCAAACACTAACATTTTCAAAGGACCTCAGGGTTGAGTCAAAATAAGCTTCTAAAATTCAGTGGGAGTAGAAAATGCATGTTGGTTTGCTTCCTCTAAAAATTAAGGTGGTTCATTATTGCAAACTCTTCACTCCATACTAAAATTTTAAAAATACCTAAAATGATAGGGCAATCCAACATGTAAGAATTTGAAGCATAAAACATCATATTGTAATTCCAACAAAAGTAGACCCAAGAGTCATGAGATCATTTTGGAGATTGTTAGATGAGAGTTGAGACAATTAAGAAACTCCCTTTATAAATACCAAGGGACATTTTACATGAAGCCCACTTTCTTTGCCAGCAATCTAACAGAACAGTTGCCAAAAAAATATGATGCGTACAATGGTTATGCTCCTTCGCAGCTAAATCTGATTGCATATTAACACTAACATACCTTAATAAGATGTTATAATGCAAAATAGATATATTCCATTTTAAGTTTTGACTGAATAATAGCACTGAAAAACATGAGCGAAAAGGTCTGGAATAAATGTTACAGCCTGACAATCAAAGAAACAGAAATGAAATGACATACCTGTGACTCAAAAGAGCAAAGATATTCTTGAATGGTTTTCAAGTTGGTTATCAACTTATCTGTATCCTGTAATAAGAAATAACAGAATGAAAACTTATTTTGTTACAAATTCATCAAATAGTGAAATAGGAAAGTCAATTGAGTAAACATTTTACCAAAGTAATAAACAATTGAAAACATCACTGAAAGAAAAGGTACGGAGAGAGGATTCTGCTTCATTCCTTTTGTCTTGAACTTACTTTAGTAGGCACTTCTTAATATGAGAGAGAGTAAGAGAGCGAGAGGGAATCCAAAAAGTCAATCTTCCTGCAGTGAGGAATGGATAGCTTTCGTGGATAATCTGAGCAAGAGAGTTAGAAGGAGAGCTTTAAGGGAACTTTTCCATTACCAGGGTCCAGTCATTAGGGTCTTTATCCCGAGTACTTTGAACAAACCAAAGTACAAAGCTTCTACTTTTGCAATTTGCTAATGAGTCTGCTTTGAGAAATGCTATTGCGAATGTTAATGGATCATGGATTGATGGGAGGAGAGTCTCAGTGGAGGTTGCTAAATATCAGAGGGCTAGAAAGGGAATGGCCGCTGCAGGTAAAGTCCAGGTGGAACCTAAATAGTCATCTGGAGGTGAAAAGAGGATGATCAAAGAGGGAGTAGAGTCTCCGAGGAGTTTAAGGGACGATAGATCCTAAAAAGAAGTAGTGCTCTCGGACAAGAAGTTCAGGGATGAACCTGGAACCATGAGAACAGAGGGGGTAATCTGCAAGATGCAACATGGATGAGGAGTGTATGGGAGATGCATATCCCTCCAGAAGAGTCGAGTTGGATGAAATGCTCTTTAACAGGGATCATTAAATCATCCTTTAAGCTTGGATTGGTGCAGAAGGCACTGTCTAGTGATGGAATTGAAGCAAAGGTTGCCTATTGGGGTTACGCATGGAACTCTTGTATTATCACCTTCAAGTCGGCTGAAGCGTTATCGGAGACGTGGAATAATAAGAAAGATGAATTGTTTTTCTGGTTTGATTGGTTGGCACCCCTTATGAATGAAGATGGAGTTCCAATGGCGTATTGTTTGATTGAATTATATGGAGTTCCATTATTATGTTGGCATGAGGCGTTCCTAGAGAGGCTTGTTGGAAGGTGGGGGTCGTTGGTTTGCATTCAGGAGTTGACCAAGAATAGAGGATATGTCGGCGGAGAGATTATTGGTGAGAGTCACGAGTCCATTCAAAGTTCCGAGAATGAGTTCATTAGGCTCATATGGGAGATCATTCAAGGTAAGAATTAAGGTGGCTTCGGTTTCTAAGAAGCTAAGTGATTTGCTGGAGAAGACAACGGAAAAAATTTCAGAGGATGGTTGGAATGATGATTCATCGTCGGAGGACCAGGAAAGTGATCGGGCGATGAGTGGAAAATGAACAGTCACTTGAGGAGTCTCTAAACAGGGTTGACACGTGGCTTGAAGAGGGAAGAATAGTTGACATTGAGAAGGGGGTTTTAAGACAACAATCATTATTGCAGGGTAAAGAGAACGAAGGTATTAATGGGAAGGAGACAGTTTTCCTCGGTACTGGGAGAGCATTTAAGGGGGAGTACGCAGGACTTGGATTAAGGATATAGCCCAATGAGCCCATTTCCCCATCACCGGAATTATTCCTTCAGGTCCTGTAATAAATATAGCCCAATATAATTGTTGGAATTCCTAAAATTAAGGATAAATTACTTACCTTATTCATAGGAGTTCCCTTGTACTATAGGATCTAATCTTAGTCTCTAATTTTTAGGGAGTTACTCATTTTTAGGGATTGTTTCCTTATTTATACTTAGACTACTCTATAAAAGGTGTAAACTATTTAGTCATAAAATAACAACTTTTTTTTCTAAATTTGTTCATGGTATTAGAGCTATAGGAATCATTCGATCCCTGCTCCTTTCGTCTTTATCTTCTTATCCCTCTCATCAATCTTTTCTACCTCTCCGGTTGAATCCATTTTCCATGGTTGACGATGAAACTCTATCCGAAACTAAGACTTCACAAATGACTCAGACTTTTAACCAAGGAATCTCTCAAGGTGACCTTAATTCCTCCCTCGTAATCACCCATCATCGTCTAGATGGAAAAAATTTCCTGCAATGGTCCCAATCGGCCATTATGGTAATTCATGGCCATGGCAAATCAGGTTACATCAATGGAGAAATTTCTCGACCAGCCCCAACAGATCCGACTTACGCGACTTGGGAACTCAACAATTAGATTGTAATGGCTTGGCTAATTAATTCAATGAAAGGCTAATTAATTCAATGGAAGGCCATATAAGTCGCTCCTATCTCTTCTTCAAAACTGCAAAAGACGTGAGATGCAATCAAAGAAAACTACTCGGATTTGGGAAACGCCTCCCAAGTATTCGAGATCAAGATGAAGTTAAAGGATATTCGACAATGAGCACTCGAAGTAACTCACTACTACAACAATCTGAAAATTTAATGGCAGGAGCTGAATATGTACTACGAGGCAGACGTGGGCGAAGGCGTGGTACACACCAAGTTTATGACTCATCTCAACAAAGAACGCCTTTATGAGTTCCTAGTAGGACTGAATCGTGAGTTAGATGAGGTTCGTGGACAAATTCTGGGCAGAACCACTCTACCAACAATTAGGGAAGCATTTGTAGAAGTTGGAAGATAAGAAAAACAACTTGTCATGATGGGAGACCCAAAAGAACCTAATTCTGTGACAACAATTGGTTACCGTCCTCCTAAAAATTCTGCCCTTACCTCTAGAGGTCCTCAACCACAAAATTGTGCTGAAAATGATTCTGGATCAAACAGACCATGGTGCAACCACTGCAGTCGTCTGATTATACAAATGAAAAGTGCTTCAAACTCCATGGCTATCCTGAAAAAAATCAAAAGGAGAATAAGACTGCAACGTTGTCCACTAATACCTCCATTGCTGCAGATGATGCTCTCGATGTTCGTCTAACCAAAACCCAACTTGAGACACTCCATAAGTTGCTTGATACTTCAAAAGCTAGTGGTTCACTAGCCACCCAAGGTACTACCTTCAACATTGCCTTTGAACCTAACAAATCCTCCTGGATGCTCGATTCGGGTGCTTCCGATCACATGACAGGTAACTCCACTTTGTTTCACACTTATACACCTTGTCATGACCAATTTCGAATCCGCATAGCTGATGGATCTTACTCACTGGTGGATGGAATTGGAAAAGTTAAATTAGCAGAAAATTTATCCCTTGATAAAGTCCTACAGGTCCCAAAATTGTCCTGTAATTTACTTTCAATCAATAAACTTACCAAGGATGAAAATGTTCTTGCTGAATTTTATGCAACTGGTTGTGTGGTACAGGAACAAAAATCAGAGAGGGTGATTGGCAATGCTAAAGTTGATGATGGACTCTATATTTGAAATATAGACAGTACACAAAAGGAATTGACTCTATCTACTTCAAAAGATGACACAATTATGTTATGGCACCATAGACTAAGGCATCCAAACTTATTGTATTTGAAGAAACATCTTCCGTTGTCATTTTGCAATAAAAATGTGAGCTCCTTGAAATGTGAAATTTGCCAATTATCCAAACACACCCGTGTACCATACCCATTAACGCCTTATGTACAATCTCAACCTTTCTCGTTAATACACAGTGATCTATGGGGAGCTAGCCGTGTAAAGAATGTTACGGGGCTAGATGGTTTATAACTTTCATTGATGACCACACTAGAGTTGTTGGGTATACCTCCTCAAAGAAAAATCCGAAACACCCAAAATCTTCCAAAACTCTCGCTCAATGGTTCGAACCTAATTTAATTCTACCATACATACTCTCCGAACTGACAATGGAAGAGAATATTTCAACTCTGTCCTAAGCCCTTACCTTTTTGACCAAGGCATCATACATCAAAGTTCTTACCCCGACACACCTCAACAAAACAGGATATCCGAAAGAAAAAACCGACATCTCCTTGTTGTGGCTCGAGCCCTAATGTTTACCATGGATATCTCAAAATACTTGTGGGGAGAGACTTTCCTCACTGCTTGCTACACATAAACCGTTTACCATCACAGGTATTAAATTTTCAAACACCTCTACATACACTTCAAAAGGCCTTTCCCTTATTTCGTGTTCTCAACCTACCAACAAAAATATTTGATTGCAAAGCTTTTGTCCACAATCATCAACCCAATCAATCCAAACTTGATCCTCGAGCCCACACGTGTCTTCATTGGATATTCCCCCACACAAAAGGGCTATAAGTATTACCAACCTTATATTGAATGTTTGTCTCTCAGGATGTCGACCTTTTTTGAGAATGAACCATACTTTGCAGCATCTCATCTTCAGAAAGAGACTCTTAATGAAGATGAGACCCTTAATACCCTTCTCATTATACCTCATGATCCTACCTCTACTATCATAAACAAGCCTAACAACCCAACAACCATTGTAATTCTAGATTCATGAATTATTTCTCCTGTGCAACAACAACAAATTAGCATAATCAATCACACCACCGAAGAACAACAACAATCTGATCCAGGAAGGCAACAAAAAGGCCCCAAAACTTCAGGTATATTCTCGACGACTTTATTCTTCTGAAACTGAAACAGCAATGCCAATTTCATCCCCAACCGAGGACTGTTCTGAAATAGAAGTCTCACCTCCATCACCGTCCATCTATCTTCCAATTGCAGTTCGAAAAGGAACAAGGAGCTGCACTCAACACCCTATTTCTCGATTTGTGTCCTATAGAAACTTATCTAAGTCTTATAAAACCTGTGTCAAATTTTGATACTGTAGAAGTTCTAAAACATAGAAGAAAATCTTAAATCAATTGAGTGGAGGCAAGCTCTGATGGAAGAAATAAAGGCTCTCAAAGACAATGAAACGTGGGATTGGATTGGCCCTTGACCCAATTGGACGTAAAAAACACTTTCCTCAATGGAGAATTAAATGAGGAAGTGTAAATGGACTTCCCACCCGAGTTTGAAGAGAGCAAGGGCCAAGTTTTTAAGTTAAAGAAGTCCTTATATGGACTAAAGCAGTCTCCAAGGGTGTGGTTCAATCAATTTGCCAAAACTATGACTAGTAGAAGTTATATTCAAAGACAGGCTGACCACACCATGTTTTACAAACACTCGAAAAGTGAAAAATGTTGCATTTTCATTGTTTATGTGGAGGATATAATATTAACTAAGGATGATTCAAGCGAAATTGAAAGGCTAAAAGAGTTTCTTAGTGTTGAATTCGAACTTAAGGACTTGGGGAATCTTAGATACTTTCTTGGAATGGAGGTAGCAAGGTCTAAGGCAGGTATTTTCATCTCCCAAAGAAAGTATGTTCTCGATCTGCTTTCTGAAGTTGGTTTGTTGGGATACAAACGAACCAAAACTCCTATAGAATTCAATCTTAAATTGGGAACTGATCAGGATGGAGAAGAAATCGACAGGGGGAGATATCAACGACTACTAGGGAGACTTATCTACCTATCTCACACTCGTCCAGACGTAGCTTTCGATGTGAGAGATATCAGCAAGTACATGCATGCTCCAAGGGAGAAACATCTGGAAGCGGCGTACATGATATTAAGGTATCTCAAAGGGACTCCGGGTAAATGCCTGCACTTCAAGAAAACTGCCAACCGAAGTGTAGAAGTATACACTGATACAGAATGGGCAGGGCCTGTTAACGACAGACGTTCTACAGTGGTTACTATAGCTACGTGTGGGGTAATCTCGTAACGTTAAGAAGTAAAAAACAAACCATTGTAGCACGCAGCAGTGCAGAGGCAGAGTATCGAGCACTATCCCATGGTATATGTGAAGGAATATGGATACGACTATTGGGAGAACTAAAAGTGTCCTATACTATACCTATAAAAATGAATTATGACAACCAGGTAGTTGTCAGCATAGCACATAATCCTGTTCACCACGATTGCACCAAACATGTGGAAATTGATCGCCACTTCATCAAATAAAAAATTAACTCGGGAGAGGTTTGTGTTACCTACCTACCTACAAGACAAGTTGCAGACTCGTTGACCAAAAGCTTGAGCAGAAACATGTTTGAATAAATTATTGGAAAGCTGGGTTTGATAAATATCTACACTCCAGCTTGAGGGGAAGTGTTGGAATTCCTAAAATGAAGGATAAATTACTTACCTTATTCCTAGGAGTTCCCTTGTACAGTAGGATCTAATCTTAGTCTCTAATTCTTAGGGAGTTACTAATTTTTAGGGATTGTTTCCTTATTTATACTTAGACTGCTCTATAAAGGCTGTAAACTATTTAGTAAAAAAATAACAACCTTCTTTATAAGTTTGTTTAATAATTTGGGAAGGAAATTTTTTTTTTTTGATAAGAAGATAGGCCTCGTTAAAAACCCCTTTCATGATTAATGGAACAAAAAAATGTTCCTTAGTCAGCGGAAGGAGGAAAAGAGTGCCTTAATAACCATTAATAAACAAGAGTTACATAATGTTTAACAACAGAACTCTCCCTTACAATAATAAACCCAAATGCTGAAAGAATCCATACACACTGAGAACTAACCGATACCGGCCTTAGCTAAGCTGTCAGCCTCAACATTAGCTGATCTAGGAACCCATCTAATAATACCATTTAGATCTCTTAACAAAAAACCAATCTCTCTCACTAAAACTCTATAAACAACAGGACATCGATGGATATCAAAGTCCTCAGTCAAGAGACCTCATCCGTAGGAGATCACCCTCCTCCCGTCCTGATCGTTTCACAGAAGGAACAACTCGATTGGAGTAGAAAAAATTAGATTTTTTGGTAAAGTCTACTACAGGTCTAGCTGGAGAAAGAGAAGAAATCGATTGGAGATGGGAGATGGGAGATGGGAGATGGTTCTACACAAGCGGTGGAAGAGATATTTAAGAACAACTTACAGTTGGACCATTTAGAGCACGTGATCAATGTAGATGGTGCGAATATGGATCACAACAACAATTTGGTAAGAGAAAATAACAATGTGAGTATTGTTGGGTTTAACGGGCCAGCTAATCATGGGCAGTCAACAGCAGTAAACGAGTCTTCGGGCCAAGATAATAATCAGACGGGAGAGGATTTGGGAGATGGAATTACCATCAGCAAAGACGATGGCAACAATCCTCGGTCTTCTGCAAACAGTCAATTTCAAATCATTCCTTATGATGGGAGACCCTTAGGAGATGGTCAAAACGTCAAAGTATGTGTAAAAGACATCAGAAGAACCAAAAGAATGCTGATAAGGGATGTTTTAGACTAGGTTAGTACCTCTATTGTTTCTTCCTCTTCTTTCTCGGTGTATTTGGAGGAAGCCTTGGCCACATGGGAGATTAGTAATCTGTTGGGAATCTCTTTTAAGGATGGGAAGAAGGCTTTTTTGGAGAAAGTAATTAGCCTGGAGAGGGATCGGGAGGACTTCGGGGAAGATAATCCTCTCGTGTTTTAGTAGGGTTTTTTGTCATTTTCATCATGCCAAAATAATCTATCATCACTTGGAATATTAGGGACCTGGGAAGAAAGGAGAAACAATGAGCAGTTCAGAGTTTATTATCTAAAAAGAATCTGACCTTCCTCTTTTTACAAGAACTCAAAGTGGACACAATATCGCAGTCAGTCTTAAGATGAATTAGGGGAAAGAATCTACAGGGGCATGTGTTTTCTCTAGCTGAAGGTTCTGCAGGAGGGTTGCTGAGTTGTTGAGACGATAACATATTTGAAGTCAAGGAACAATTTGTACACAAAAGGTACATTGTCATTTTTGGGCAATTTTGAGAGAATCAGTTTAATTGTGGTTTCATCAATGTGTACGGGCCGGCTACAAAGGATGAGAAATGAGTCTTTTTTGAAGAGCTATCTTCTTATATGGGTAATCAGAGGGTTCCTTTATGTTTGGGTTGTGACTTCAATGTGTATTTATCTCAAAAGGAGAAAGAAGGTAGATCTCAAAATTGGAATTCGATAGAGCTTTGGGTTGTGTCCTTTATGGTTTAGGAATCAGAGGGTTCTTGTATGGTATATTTTGGAGAAGAAGTGGGGATGGAGTTTACTCGGTTAGATCTTGTATAAAATTATGCTCCAATGAGACAGAACCAGATTAGTTTTGGAAAAGTTTCCTATGAAAGGGTTCGGTGCCTCCATGGGTGGAAACTTTCATGTGGCAATTGGTTCACCAAAAGCATACTGTAAGGGCAAAATTAATAAAGAGAGGTGTTCAAGGGATTTCCGATCCACTATGTCCTTTATGCAATCGGGAAATAGAGACTTCTTCACATTTATTTTTTTCTTGTATAGTTCCGTGTAGGCTGTGGAATAAGTTTATGCATTTCTGGAAGATATTCGTTGTCATACATGAGAATGTGTTTTGCTTTCTATCAACCTGAGAGGAGTTGGTACCTCATTCAATCATTTAGAGGTTTATTCCTGGTATGGTTATGCGGACGATTTGGAAATGTAGGAATGCCATTGTATTTGAAAAGGGGAAATTTGACCCAATCCAGTTGTTTTTCACAACAAGGTTCAGATAAGCAGCTTGGTTCCTAGCAAAATTCTCTAATATTCTTATATCGATGGACTCCCTCATTGGGAACCCATCTGTTGGAGATTTGTGCTCTGTTCCAAAATGTCATCCAGCAGCTCAGATTTCCTAGTCCCCCTCCCGTGGGTTTTATAAAATTGAATGTGGATGCTACAGTCAATGGCGATTGGAAAGCAAGTGGTATAGGCAGGATTCTAAGAGACAGTTCCAGCACAATGCTAGGAACTTTTTCAGAAGTTGCTGGTCTTGGTCCTCCACCGTTAGTGGAATTGCACTCCATTAGAGCAGGCCTGATCTCTTTTTAATTATCTAGTTAGAGTTTTAAGAGGAGTTTGATTATTGAGAGTGATAACAAGAATTGTGTGAAGTAGGTTAAGAACTTGGATGTTTGTCTGAGTATTTATGTTTCAATTACTAAAGAAGTAGCATATAGAATCAGAAGCTTGGAGGGTTTTCTCCGATGGATAGCTAGACCAGCAAACTTAGAAGCAGACGCTTTAGCTAAAGAAGGAATTGGTTAAGATAGAGAGTTTAGGTTGTGTTTTAGGTGTTCTTGTTTTGTTTGTTTTATATTTCCTAAGCTGGAATACCCTACGGTGTTCTAGTAATTATGAAGGGGGCTTTTAACGAGGTCTCCATTTCTTATCAAAAAAGAAAAGGTACGGAGAGAGGCAATAAAAACCAAGGTACCACCATGCCCACTTTTGACCAGAAACAACGATAAAAAAGTTTTGCACACATTGACATAATTGGAAGGGCATCATCTCACACCAAAACAGCTCTCCAGCTTAAGAGAATTCTGGAAAAATATATCATGTGCTAAAAATTCAAGTAATTGTTTTCATACTGAAATAAGAGTGAAAAAATGCCACTATTGATACAAGGCAACTCATGACTTCATATGCCACTATGCTCCGGGCAAGCTAAAGTTAAATCTTTAAGAAACTACTTAAAGAAAGCACATGAATATGACTTCTTGAATTTTCCAAGGATCCACTTTCAAACATCAAATGATGCCATTGTTTACTCTATATTCATAGAATCATACTGTATAACTCAGTACTTAATCATAGTCCTTGGTTAAAGGACAACAATTAGCATTCCAAATTGAGAAAGAGAACTTCAAATCAACCCAATTATCCAGTAAAAGATTCATGCAATACCCCCACTAAGATTTTTGTCAAATTGTATTATTTTTCTTCCATGATGATAATTACTTCAACTTCAGTATTAACAATAGTTTATATGGAATGAGAACCCAGAAGTGTTATTAATACCTGGACTAGACATTTACCACTTAATGTTCGGGTAGTTATCCTCTCCTCCAGTAATGCCTGCATAAAGTATAGTTAGAACTTAGAAAATCATATAGAAGTGAGAAGAGAGACGTTAGAAGGGAACAATTGAGATAGTCCTGACTAAAGAGAGCCACCTTCATACAATTAAGAATAACTTTGCATGAAAATGATTACACCTTTCTAAAATCAAGAACAAAATGCACTAAAGAGAGCCACCTTCATACAATTAAGAATAACTTTGCATGAAAATGATTACACCTTTCTAAAATCAAGAACAAAATGCAGCAGTGTCATTGCAATTTATGCTAGGATAGAACCGATAAAAGATCCCATCATTTTATAAATTTATGTTCAGAGTAGTCTTTCCAACAAATGATATCACACACAAGAAGAGTGGATTGAATGAATCATCCATAATGTTAAGTCAATCCGGAGGGGCTTGACGATTTTAGGCCAATTAGCCTTTTTGGAGGGTTTTATAAAATTCTTTCAAAGGTCCTAGCTAGAAGGCTGAGTTTATGTATTAATGATGTTATAAGTCCGTCTCAATTTGCATTCATTCCGGGGAGACACATTATGGATTGCTCCTTTATTGCGAATGAAGGTATTGACTTTTGGAGGAAGAAAGGATTGAAGGGGGTGGTATTTAAGGTGGATTTTAAAAGAGCCTATGACTCGGTGAATTGGGAGATTTTGATGAAAATAATGGATAAAATGGGTTTTGGAGTTAGATGGTGCTCTTGGATACTTAAATGTGTGTCAACAACTTCTATTTCTATTCTAGTAAATGGGAATCCAACAGAGAAAATTTACCCTGCAAGAGGTCTAAGGCAGGGCTGTTCATTATCTCCAATGTTGTTTAATTTGGGGGGGAGTTGCTGCATTTACTGTTGGTAAAAGCAGTGGATAAGGGGCTGTTTTCGGGTTTCGAGCTAGGTTCTCTAGATCGATCATTTATGTTATCTCATTTACAATTCGCGGACGATCTTATAATTTTCAGCAAAGCAACAATTCGCGATTTGCTGAATGTTAGGAGGGTGCTGTTCATTTTTGAGATTTTGGTGGGACTGAAGCTGAATTTGACAAAAAGCAGAATATTTGGAGTTAATGTTGAGGATGAGGTTCTAGATTCATGGGCTAAGGAGATTGGGTGTTCAATGGGTTCTTTTCCTTCGGAGTATCTTGGGTTACCATTGGGAGCCAAGAGAAATTGCGTTACCTTGTGGGAGCCTGTTGTGCAGAAATTCTATAGTTCATTGGCTGGTTGGAAGGCAAACTCCCTATCGTTGGCTGGAAGGGCTGTTTTGGTTAAATTTGTTTTGTGTTCTATCCCCATCTACTTCCTATCTATTTTTCGGATTCCAATCACGGTTCTCAACAAGTTAAACTCTATTATGGCAGGTTTTTTATGGGGAAGTACGACAGAAAAGAAGAACATCCATTGGTTGAATTGGAAGTCAGTGTGTAAGCCAAAGAAATTGGGAGGCTTAGGGATTCCGAACTTGCTGCTCTTGAATAGGGCTCTTTTGGGGAAATGGGTTTGGAAATTTGCTTCGGAAAAGAGCTCTTGGTGGAAAAAAGTGGTGTGCAGTGTGAATAATTTGGATACAAATGCTATGATGATTGGGAATAATTGGACAGTTAGAGCTTCTTGGATTTGGAGAGGAGTTATTCAAAATTTCTTTTCTATTGATGATTTTGGGGATTGCCTTAGAAAAAACATGTGTTTGAGAGCTGGAAATAGAGAATTAGTGGAGTTTTGGAATGATACTTGGCTGGGCATTGTTCCTCTGAAGGAACGATTTCCAAGACTTTTTGCTTTATCGAATAACAAAAGGGGTAAAGTAGCAGATTTCTGAGTGAACAGTTATTCAGGATGGGTGTGGGATATACAAGTGAGAAGAAATTTGGTGGACTGGGAGATTGAGCAATGGTTGCAACTTATTTCATTGCTGAATAGTACCACTCTCCAACTATTGGAGGAAGATTGTTGGATATGGTTAGGTAATGGGGAGGGTTGTTTTTCAGCTAAATCGTGTATTTTAAGGTTTTATGACCAGGAGGGTAATGAGGGTGAGGAGAGTAATTGGGAGAGGCATGTTTGGGCAGGGGTGGCTCCTCCACGGGTAGAAGCTTTCGTTTGGCAAGTTGCACATCAAAGAGTAGCAGTGAAAGAGGAGCTGTCGAAGAGAGGAGTGGCTGGGTTTGAGGATCTCTTATGCCCGATGTGTGGGAAGGGGGAGGAGTCGATTTCACATTTGTTTTTGCATTGTGAGGTGGTTTGGGTTCTGTGGTCTAGATTTTTTAGGGGCTGGAATATTTCTTTTGTGGTTCCTAATAAGGTGATTGACTTCTTAATTTTGTGGGATGAGTTAATGCCGAGATCTACAATTTGGAAATTCATTCCAAGGGCGGTGTTGTGGTCGGTTTGGAAATGTAGGAATGAGATTATTTTCCACAAAGGGAAAGTGGATTCTGCACTGCTGTTCTTTCTTGCTAGATTCAGAACTGTTTCTTGGTTTGGGGCGAAATTCAAGGATATTAAGATTCCTTTTGATTCTCTAGTTGGGGATTTAAAATTGGCAGACTCGATTAAAAGACAAAATCATAGATGTGTTCCTACTTCTTGGTGGGTACCTCCGCCAGAAGGTTTCATCAAACTTAATGTGGATGGGGCAATGGTTAAGGGATGGGATAAAGGAGGAATTGGCGGTCTGATTAGGGATGATAGAGGTTTGAAACTAGGATCTTTCTCTGAAATAATTGGAGGAGGTCCTCCTATTCTTGCAGAGTTGATGGCGATCAAAAGAGGTTTAAGTCTCATTGAAGAGTTGGGATCTTTTCCAACTCAGAGGATTAACTTGGAATCAGACTCGACCACGGCTCTCAAATGGATCAAAAATCCAGAATTATGTACCCCGTCGTTTCAGTCCTTGGTAAGAGGCATAGCTACTTATGTAGAAGGAAGGGGTATCATCTCAAGACATATTGTGAGAGCTGCTAACTGGGAAGCGGATGAGTTGGCAAAAGCTGGTATAGGATGATCAGTGGTTATGAGTTATAGTTATTAAGCTGGGGTGTTCTGTTTTTTAAGGGGCTTGGTTTTTTGTGCTGCAGTTTGTGTCTATGATTGTTAAGTCTTATGTTATAAGCAGACCATGGTTATGGATTGGTTGTATGTTATGTTCAAGATTAATACAATTCAGAGGCGCTCTTTTCCTCCTTCCTTTGTCCTTCATGTTACTTATGTAACATGTAGGATATGAAGGGGGGTTTTTAATGAGGCCTATATTCTATCAAAAAAAAAAAAAAAGATCCTTGCAGAGCTTTTCTATCTATACATAAAGGTTTTTGATTGTACAGGTTTCATCAAAAAGAGATCAAGAAATTGACATGAAAACAACACCAATATTTGCAGCTTTGCCAAATGTGAATTAGGACTAGTGTCTCCTCCATATGCTAAGTTTAGCAAAGCGCGCCACATCATTGACCAAATCAAATTTACACTCACCAACAAGTCTCTCACATCACTGTTAAAGATATACAAAAGTGAACAGAGAAAGCAACCATACCTTATGATCAAATTCAGCCATCTTCAGAACTATGGGTATAATTATTGGTTCCGGGCCAGGTTTTTCTTTTCTAGTGGTACTTCCATTTACTTCTGCATCCTTAACAGTTTCACCTGCATGAACACAAAAACCATTAACTGTCATATTGTACACTCGCTTAGACTAATACTGAACGCATACACAAAACAAAGTTAGATGACATATCAAATAATACGAGTTAAGAGCAGAAATCTACCTTTATTCTCAGATGCAGTTTCTAGAGCAATGGACTCTAAAGATTTCGAGACTTCATTCACCTGATCAACAGATGCACCATGCACAAGATGGTTTTGGCTATTTTCCACATTACTTTCAGATGTATTATTTTCCACTTGCAATGCAAAATTACCGTCCGGTGCCATGGGCTGTGAGGTTGGTTGATGCCCTTCAGTCACAGAGGATGTAGTTTTACGCTCATCATCCATTAAATAAATGCTTGGATCCAAATGTATTCCCTGTTATTGTCATAAGAAACAAGGAAAACCCACTAACATCAAAGTGACGTGCGTTAAATTGACATGGAAAAGCCAATACATCTCAATCTCATGCAATGAACAGGTAGAGAAAAAAAACTATTACTTAAGAATATTTTCAGCAATTTTTGTGGCCAAAAAGAAATAACATATGTAAAAGTAGAACAAAAATCTAGAAATAACAACAATCTGCAGGGTAACATGGTAGAAGATCAAACTTCATGCCTATGTAATATCACGTTGTCAGTTGTCACATGCATGTGTGTTTCAAAGGCATGGCTTGCTCAACTAAAACCCACTATGGCTAAATCATGTAATTTTAACTATTACATTCGTCAAATCACCAACAAGAATAACCACAAAGATCTAGAGAAATCTAAGGATGGAACTTTGGGTTGAGCCAATATAGCTGAAAATAAAAAAGAAACAAGTACTGAATATGTACATGCGTACAATATATTCAATCATAAAAAGATGCTCATGTCTAGCACTCCACAGCTAGACTCTACTTATTCCAATGTGCAAGTTGAAGCACCCTTTCATGACAAATGCTACAAAAACAGACAATACCAGATAGAAATTCCCAAACAAATTAAATAGCCTTGAGGAACTGTTTAATTTTATTTCCAAGATGGCACCAAATCTTATTAAAGCAAATTAATTAATGCAAAGAAAGAGTTAAAAAACCACAAACAATCAAAACATAATGTACTTCCACATATCACAGTGTTAATTCTTGAGCACATAAAGGTGAATTGAAGAAGTATTCGCTGCAAAGATTAAAAAGTGAGAGAGGGAGACAGAGAGAGAGAGAGAGAGAACAATGTGGTGGACGTCACAAGGATAGAGGATGAAGATATCAGAAAAAGAATGTAATCAACAATCATATGTCTCACCTCAATTATAATTGGTTTTCCATCTTTCATTGCCTTTTTTAGATCCCCATTCAACCCTAAGAAAAAATACAACAGAATAGAATCAATGACGAATATACCTTTAGAAAACAATAACATGCCATTCAGGTTTTATATGCCCCTAGGCAATTCTTGCTTTTAAATTTATGAGAGGGAGAAGTTCCTCAAAGCTAAATGAAAATATTAGAAACTACCTTTACGAACTATCCTGCATTCTCGACAAAATTCAGTAATTAACTCCTCAGAGGAGATGAAATCCCGTTCCCATACAGGAGTGGATCCTAATGGAGCACTGAAACAAATAAGAGAGGTAAGCATTTTTACAATCTGTTAAAGGGAAGTCAGATAAATCAGTTGCACAAAATGATCTATCTACGGCGGACAATCAACATTTTCAAACACATGGATTGAGAGTGACAATAATAAGAAAATAATGAAAATAAATTTTTAAATCCAATGCATTATTTAATAATTTTAGGTAGTGCCTTTTCTTCTAAATTTATTGAAATAGCAAGCAATTAGTGAATTTAACTTCTTATCTTGCAGTCAAATACATAGCTGAGGTGAAACTTATCAAATTGAAAAACCAAAAAGACCTGTTCTAAATACAAAATCAACATCTTCCTTCCACTTATAAAACAAATCCAAACTATTACTGGCTATCCCAGATGTCCTCCTTTGGTTGAAGCCAGAACCAGCAACCATCATTTTATTTATTTATTTATTTGCACTAGATTGACATGATCAAAATTTTCTACATTGGAACAGAAAGCTGAATAATTTAAGAAGAGAAAAAAAAAACAAATTGATTCTGGACATACTCTGTTGCTGTGCGTAGCAATTCATAAACCATATCTGTCTGTAACAGGTCAAAACAGAAATGTAAATACACTAGAAAAATAATAGGCAGATTTAACCAACAAATATGAAGAAAATATTAAATCTCAGTAGAAAAACAGAATGCTGAACCTGTAAGACATTTGGCAAGTTGAGCCTCTGTGCGAGTTGTGTGGCTATTGTAGACTTCCCAACACAGGCCGTCCCACAAACAAGAATCACCAAAGGAACCCTTTGATGGTGAAATCTGAAAGTAGGAAACAAGAACAGTATTACCAAATGAAGCAACGATAAGAAGTTCCTTACATATTTTTGGTTTGCTTCTTCATGTCAAAAGAAAGTAATGAGTCTATACGAAAAAGTTCCACGCATAATCCAACTTAATCCTATGCCAATATTACTTTTGTCTTTACTATCAAGTTAGGGTAAAAACAGCAATCATCAAGTTAAAGTGAAAATGTGAATCAGGCCTAGACCATCAATATGAGTATGTGTGGAACTTGATAGTCTAGGCCTGATTCACATTTTCACTTTAAAACCTAAACCTTTTGCGCTTTTTAAAACCCAGGTAGCAAACAAAAGGAAGATAGTTACCCAAAGGGGGAAATATTATACAAAAGGAAGCGACCACCATTATCACACAGTACAGTTTTTTGAGCTCAATTAGCTTTGATTCACTAAACATGCAATAAAGTTGAACATGAAAATGTCGTCCCACCAAGCACCATAAAATTGTTTGGCGTCATCTTGAAAAGCTAACTGACCTGGTCATCATTTTGTACCGATTTATATACTCTTCCCCATAACCTCGACGTTCCATTAGCTGCATAAAGACTACGATTAAAGCACTTGAAAAAATAACAATCTCCAATAAGTCAGAAATTGCTCTACTTTTTCATCCATACGGCAAATTCACAAATGTTATGAGCAAATACCTTAAAAAGATTAGCTTCCAAATCAGTTTGCGAGCTGCATAAGAATTTGACGAATAGAAAATTTGGAATGAATGATATAAGTCCCAGATTGAAAATAAAATCAAAAGAAAGAGAAAGAAATCATACACATCCAAAAGGCTGTTGTCTATAAGCAGCTTCTTGAGCTCGAGGGCGATTTTAATAGCTACATGATTCGGAATCTGAAACCGCCATGTTATAAAGATAAACATAGAATAAATAAACCAAAACATATTCAAGTAAAAGCCATATAAATAACAAAACAGTGAAGAAAATAAAGAAATTTAAGCAAGCATATTCTAAGAAAAATATTTAGAACTTAAAAACAAAAGAATGTCATTGAGACCTTTGTGACAGTTAACATTCTGCTAAGCAAGAACCTGGATAAAACATAATAGTGATCTGCGTTATCACCCAACCAGACTTTCACCTAACAATTAAAAAGAAAGAAAATATATATGAAACTCGGAAGATTTTATTTAAAATTAATTAGCGTAAACGGGATTTAGAGAGGGAAAAAGAGAACCTTGACGAAGTCGTATTTGGAGGAAGCGTTGCGAGGACTGGATTTGACTGAGGGAAAAGAAAGACCAGTATTCTTGCCGTCGTCTTCGCCTTCGCCACTGAAATTGTGGTTAGCTCTTGTTCGCTCTGCAACTCCCTTGCCCTTGAAGTTGTTCATCGTCCTCTCATTTTCTCCCATTCTCTTCTTTCTCTTTCTCTTTTTGTTTTAGATTTCAATGATAGTTTATACCAGCAATTTCAATACCTTTCCCTGGACTTAAAATTCGCCCGGTCGGTTAACGCCGTCTCCATCTTTGCCACTTCAGCAATCAGCTTCTTTCATTTTATTTAGGGTAAGTTCACAAATAGTCCCTCAATTATAAGAAATTACTTTATTTAATCTTTTAACTATTTATATGTTCTAAATTTATTATTTTCGTAAAAGATGATATAATTAGAGTTAGACGTTAAATTATTGACTGATATATGATAGTCGTTGGAAATTTTTGAATCAGATTTTATCATATCACAACTAGCAGGTTAACGTCCAACTCATATTGTCATCAGTTTTTTAATAAAAATGACAGTTTAGAACATATGAATAATTGGATGATCATTTTATAACTTTTAATAGTCGGATGACATAAAAAATAACATCCTATAGTCGAGAAATCATTTGTATAATTTGTATTTAAGAATAAACTAGAGGTGTTAAGAAAAACATGTAATTGTTAACTGTTATAACTTTACATTTAACAGATCAATTAACTAAATTGTTAATATTAAACGGTTTCGGTTAACCAAACCGCTAAAATTGATAGTTAACGATTAAGATTAAGATTACGAATTTTGATAAATGGTTAACTGTTGGTTAACTGATAATAAGTTAAATTTATAATTATATTTATAATTTTTTATATTTTCCCACAAATAACTTATTATAACTTTCTATTGTTTCTAATTTTATATTTTTTAATAAAAATTGTACACAGGAAACTTAATATATATATTTTATTTTTTATTTTGATTTCTTTGAAAATACGAAAACATATGTACACTAATATAATTATGTGTTTATTAGGTACCAAGATATTGGAAGATGTATATACTTATATTGGTGTAAGTATGAGTTAAGTGATATATTTTTAAATTTTATTCACTTACACCAGAATAAGTATATGTTAAGTTCTACACTTTTTTATAGAATGAATTATGAAAAAAATTTACAAATAATTATAATTGGTTAACCGTAGGTTAAACTGTAACCGAATAGTTAATAACGATTAATCGTTAGGGTAAATCATTTCTTAATGGTTAGATTACGAATAGAAAAATCTCATAACCTTTATAACGGTTAATTGACTGTTTAGACTAAAATATACGGTTAACCATCCATGAACGGCCCTAGAATAAATTACATAAATGACTATTAAAGTATTGTTGACACCAATTTTCATTTAGGTTTATTTTTATTTTATTTTATTATTATTATTATTATTATTATTATTATTATTGTATCTTTCCTTTCCTTTCCTTTTTGCAAGCCCAACAGCAAATCGGCCGAGACCAATTTAATCAAACCCTATCCCAAAACCTAACCTAAACCCTAGCCCTAGCCCCTATCATACCCCTGTTGCTGCCACTAGCCTTTAACAGTTACTATTATCGGCACTGCCAAAACCTGTCATCGTTGCCACTACTAGTCGGTCACCTCACTGAACCACACTTGTCCCAAAACAGTGAAAACAAATCAAACCAAATCTAATGAAATTAAACACTCATCAGATTTTTCGAGGAACCATAATTGAAACTCTACCCTAGCTTTACTAAATTGGTCACCCTCACCATTAAATGACCAAGCATAAGTAGATAAAAAGATGAGGGGTTGGAACTAAGAACAAGAGGGAAGTGAGGGGACGAATTTGAATAATAAGAATATATATATATATAAGGAAGAAGAAATAAAAGAAACGAATAAAGAGAGCTTGCCCCAATTCGTCATTCATTGAAGAATTAAAGGGACATTGAAAATTGTAAAAGTTGAATATATCTCCTTATATTTATGACGTTTAAGACTCTTTTAGGCCATTCGGAACCCGGATCCGTGATCCTGCATCAAGAAGAAGCTCCCCGTGAAATTTGGATTTGAAAAATGATTGCCGACGGTTGGAGTTGGTCGATGTGGTGGCCGACGATGAGCTCTCATCGATTTTCTCTAAGTGCTATAAATTACGCGAAAATATGTGTAAGTATACACAATCGAACAAGTAATATAGTAGTGAGTGAGTATCGTCTCCGCAAGGATTTGAGGGATCTTGAGTAAAGTTTATGCATTATTCTAAAATAACTAAGTATAGTTAATGTGGTACGAACAAGTGAGATGAAAATGCCGAGGCAAAATGAATTGTACACAGATGAAATTGCAATGGCAATATGGAAAGGTAGCAAATGGAAATGTTGCGACAAAATGAAATGTATGTAGGTGGAATTTCAATGGTAGTGTGGATGGGTGGCAGATAGAAATGTTATGGAAAATCGAGATGTTTAGAGTGTAACCAATTAAAAATTCTAAGGCAAAATAGATTGAGGATTCGGGGATAAGTAAGATAACTTGACAATCCTCACAAACAAGATACAATAGGAATGATTGGTGGGATCACTAAGGAATCCTAAGCCTTGTCTATTATAATGGTTCATGCTTATATGGCCTATTTGCTCGACAGAGTTTACTAAAAGTGATTCTATGCTATCTATAGTCATGGATCCTAATAGATAAAAATGCCACTACAATACTTCTCGGTGTGAACAGTAACATTAAACCTATAAAATAAGCGTTGCTCCTTTTAGTTGTTGAAATCCTAGCCTTATCTCTAATAGCAGATTAGGTTCTAATTGGCAGCCAAAACCCATTGCTCACGTTGATCTTCCCTTAGTTTCTCTCGAACACTAAGAATTTTTTACATAGTTTATCTCAAACACTAAGTGTTTTACCTAAGAAATGACTACTCTCATAGCTCCTACAATCCTAAGTAATTAAACACAATGAGCAAAGAAAATAATAAACATAAAAACTTAAACCATTCATTAAAGAACACTTAATCATCTTTAAATAACCTACACCAAATAAGGTTAGTTCATGGTGGGGTACAAATTATCCATGGAAATAATTTGTTCCTTACAACCCATAAAATATAAATGAAAATGAAAGTGTAACACCCCAACCCGTACCCGACCCGAATACGAGTCTGAGGTGTCACATTGACTTTTAAAACTTTGACACTTAAAGAAAATCCCCGGGAAATTTAAAACTTAACTTTGTTTAAAACAAAATACTTTAATTTACATAGAAAAGACTACAAAATACAAACTCGATCAGAGTGCTCATAATTAACGACTTATTACATGCCAACACTCTATACACAACAAAATACATACTTTGTCGATTACTTCTGATCTGATCTTCTAGTAGTGATACTGTCGTTGCCACTTCTATTACTGCTCTTCTTGTTTCTTGGTACCTACGTGTAAATCACTTACACGCTAAGTCATAGACTTAGTGAGACAATAACTGAACATGTACCAATAGATTCATAAATATGCATTCTTACCATTTGATCATGACATTTCAATATGCATATATATATTTCATGACATATATATAATCATGTCATGCACACATGAAACTTACCTTCTTGTATCACTTTCACTTTAATTTATCTTTCAATTGTATTGCCCATGTATATTATTGAGAATAGAGGTATGTGAGTACATTGAGGTTGTGCACCAATGCTGTCACCACAGCTCGTATAAATTCCCTCATGGGGCATCGAACATTTGTTCAGTATTCGTCCCGAAGGACTGGTATATATGTCCCGTAGGACCACTACGTCCCGAAGGACTACGTCCCGAAGGACTACAGAACCCTCGACTCTTGGCATGCCAACTATACCTATAGCTCTCGTATCATATACTATGGGCATTTATGATGAATACATTTCTCATCACTTGTTCTTTCTCTTCTGTCACATACCACATGTATGTGTAACCATGTATTTCATATCATATCACATTTTTCATATTCATATGTCATTTCATATATTCACATAGTTTTTCTCATTTCACATGGTCATGTCTCATAGCATAATCATGTATGCATGTATATCATGTAACATTTATAATAATCTATACACATTTCATGTATTCATGCACATATAAAAATCATGAAATCAAATAACAATTTAGGAGTCACTTCTTACCGTAGTAACTCCATCACTGGCTCATCGCAAGCCAATGTTCGTTCAATAATATAAGTACAATAAAAATTGCACTCACCTTAGCCTTGTTTGATTTGAATCAATTCTAATCCTTTGATTATTCCAGAACTTGTTTAGGCTCAATATCTATATAAATATAACATTTCAAAACAACTATCAGAAGCCTAAACCTTAAACTTGATGTTAACAACTTAAGCCAGATTATTGAACTTAATTTCATTTTTCCTTTAGGGGGAATCGATACCCCCTGGACATTCTGGAAAAATTTCGTCCAAGAGGGGAAATCGATTCCCTTCATAGGGTATCGATTCCCTCTAACCAGAATTGGTATTTTAACCCCGAAAATCATCAATTCTTCACTTAATTCTTCTATTTTAAACCCCTATCATGTCATTAAATTCAACTACCATCACTTAAACCAACTTATATCCATGAAAATCATCTATAACTTCAAAATCCTATCTTTCATATAAAATTCAAGAATCATACTCAAATTTCAATATGTTCTAAATACAATTCTAACACTTCATATTCCTTAATTAGGATGATGACAAGTCAAATTTAACTTTAAATTCAACTTATCAACTATTTTCCATGATTTCATATAAAAACTCGTTTTCTTAAATCTCTTATAACTTCTTCATCTTTTGATTATAAGACAACTTAAGCTTTCCTTAAGCTTAGTTATCATCTAATGATCAAAACCTAACCTTTAATTTAACAAATAACCAACAAATCAGAAAACCCTTACCTTTGCCTAGCTTCCACGGTTGGGAGAAGAAGAAAGTAAGAAGAAAGAGTTTTCAGATAACTCTTTCCCCCATCCCACGTGATTCTTTCATATAATTGGGGGAAAAATATCTTTCATGCTAAATGACCATTTTGCCCTTTAATTCTTTGGATAATTACTATAAACTTTTAGGAAATATTTCTGAACCAATCATTGAACTATTCAAATATCCAATTTAAATCACCAAAATCTGAAGTTTTACAATTTAGTCACTAACCCGTATTTTGGGATGTTACAATTCTCTC